GAATTTAGAACTCTGTTTGTTGCAGTTTTTGCACTGATTGATTATAGGCCGGTTTCGCCGGAGACGATGCTCCGCGTGCTGTGTTCCCTTCCATCGTCGGACGTCCTCGTCACCAGGGAGTCATGGTTGGTATGGGACAGAAAGACTCGTACGTTGGAGATGAAGCTCAGTCAAAGAGAGGTATATAAGCGCTACCACATGCAGTTTGGGAAGTCGTGTTTGGCGAGGAAGAGAGCAAAGCGTTCCGCTTTAGGTATCCTCACGCTGAAGTACCCTATTGAGCACGGAATTGTCACGAATTGGGATGACATGGAGAAAATCTGGCATCACACTTTCTACAACGAACTTCGTGTTGCTCCAGAAGAACATCCCGTCTTGTTGACTGAGGCTCCACTTAATCCGAAAGCTAACAGAGAAAAGATGACGCAAATTATGTTCGAAACATTCAACACTCCTGCCATGTATGTGGCTATTCAAGCTGTGCTTTCTCTGTACGCTTCTGGACGTACTACCGGAGTCGTCCTTGATTCAGGAGATGGTGTTACTCACACTGTTCCCATTTACGAGGTAAATCGCGTTCGCAATATAATACTTTGAAATACTTGAATTTCTTAAAATTTACTAAATCAAGGGATATGCTCTACCTCACGCCATTCTTCGTTTGGATCTGGCTGGACGTGACTTGACTGATTATCTGATGAAGATCCTCACTGAACGCGGATACTCCTTCACCACAACAGCTGAGCGAGAAATCGTTCGAGACATCAAGGAAAAGCTGTGCTACGTCGCACTCGATTTCGAGCAAGAGATGGCCACCGCCGCCTCATCCTCATCCCTGGAGAAGTCTTATGAACTTCCTGATGGACAAGTCATTACTGTAGGAAACGAGCGATTCCGTTGCCCTGAGGCTCTCTTCCAGGTAAAAATTTCCACCTTATGCTTGCTATACCCCATGCGAAAATCTATTTTTAGCCTTCCTTCTTGGGTATGGAATCAGCTGGTATTCACGAGACCTCATACAACTCGATCATGAAGTGCGACATCGATATTCGTAAAGATCTGTATGCTAACACTGTATTGTCCGGAGGAACTACCATGTACCCTGGTATTGCTGATCGTATGCAGAAGGAAATCACTGCCTTAGCCCCTAGGTAATGATACTCAGATGTGCAATGATTCTGCTATGTTCACCAGTCTGTTTTCAGCACGATGAAAATCAAAATCATTGCTCCCCCAGAGCGCAAATACTCCGTATGGATCGGTGGATCAATCCTTGCCTCCCTGTCCACCTTCCAACAGATGTGGATCTCGAAACAAGAGTACGATGAGTCCGGCCCCTCGATCGTTCATCGCAAATGCTTCTAAGGACAAAAATAATCTCATTATGTCTCTCACTTCCAAACAAATTCATTTTGCTCCATCATCGTCATCATCATCGATGTACTTATGTTGCGTGTCTATGGTTTGTTTCTGTCTCGGGCAGGCTCCCGTGCTGTAATCACTACTCCCGGTAGTAGTAGCCCGGGTCGTACTGGCCAAGTTAGAAGCAGGTCCTAGTCATCAATTTATATGCTCATGAAAATGCAATAAACTTTAATATGCAATAATAAAGATTTGAAAATTGTACAATTGTCTACTTCGCAGGATATGTTCGATTGGCGCGCTGTGGTCTATCTAATGAATCAAAAAATCTCATACTGTTGCTATACTAGCGCTAGAATGCGTAGATTTTCTGGAATCTATGTAGTAGGCGGTGATTCGCGTTCTTACTTATCAAAACTTCTGTGTGAATTACACTTTAGAACAGCGAGCATAGAAGGAAGTCTTGTGCGAAGTCGACAGCCGTCCAGCCCTCAGTTCTCGACCTCAAATAAACTCGTTTTTTCTGTGCTTACACGAGTGGTGCGGGAGATAGAAAACTAGGAGTGCTTTAGGATGGAGAATTCTATCGTGTCAGACCTCAGTCAACACGCTATTATGGCTGCGATACGTTTGACAAAAATGATGAGGATACCTTTATAACAAGATTTTCTTTTTCCAGTCCGAGGGAAGACGACTCTGGAATTATTGCTCGGTTGCAGTTGTTCAATATCGTACAAGGCAAAATTATCGTACTCAAGGAGATAAGAGTGTGGTTGAGGTCATAAGCACTACATTTTAGCACTTCTAGTCAGACGAACGGCTAAGAGTGCTCGAAGC